CTTCCATAAGATATATGAGTCCATGATATTCATCGCGAATTCGCGGCCGAACTTCAGCGCAAAGCGCGGAGATTAGGAAAAGCATCCGCATATCAAAGTACTTCACCTGGAGGTCACATAATCACCACATAATTAGCATACAATTAATGGTCTGTTTTTGTGTGCGATATTGTCAATAGAAATATCGCAATGTTTTATAGAAATATCAATTATCAAAAGTCTATTCAATCGCGTTGAAAGGCTTTGCATTAAATATTTAAAACTTATAAAATGGCAAAAATTGGAAAATGCTCACAAAATATTTGATCGATTAGTTTGAATTTGATTTCAATGTGTAATTCCTATATAAAGCGAGTCTTTAATCAAAATGATTTCCAATTCAATGAGTTTTGAAATTTAGCGTAAATTCCTTTCAAATTCAATCGCTTTTGCGTAAATTGAGACTCAATTTCGACACCTTTAGTGCAAAACTTGCAAAATATTTCGTATTAATAATGAATAAAATCAAAAGCGGAAAATAGTACAGAATTATAATTCTTATGAAATACATAAAACCTATCGATTATCACAATACAGGTGTCCATAAACTCATTGAAATAAAGCGGTAAAAGCGAGAGAAAAAACTTTGCATAAAAACAAATTAAGTCAAAAGTGAACACAAAATGCGACAAAACATAAACTCAAGTAACGATTAGCGGAAAGCGTGTTAACAGTAACAGTAAAACACGAGAACAGGTGTGACATAACTGTCGGACATACTTCTTGTGGCAGTTGGGGGTCGGGATGCATCCTCAGCCTCAACATAATGCCCTCAATACACGAGTTATTGGCGCACAGCTTCTGAATGGTGTGGGAGTTGTAGATGAGATTGCAGAGACACTTCTGCGCCTCGACCACCACTTGCGGGTCGAACCGCACGTTCTGGCGGGTCATGAAGGCCTCCTCCTCGCCCACCAGCATAGCTAAGTGGAGCACAGTCTCGATGCGGTCGGCGCTGAACAGCTCATCCAAATGGCTCTTATCTCTGGTGAGGATCCGCAACACTTGAAGACATAAGACCTGTTCGCCAACGAACTCCGGGTCCCGAAGCACTCGGAACAGGCTCTCCAACAGCGACTTCTTGTGCTGTAGGCTGTCCTCCACTGTAAACACGTTCCCGAACTGATCCACACATACAGACATTGAGGTTCACATATACTCATCAGTGATATCAATGAGACAATTGATGGCAGACCTGATTCAAGAATTGTTGCAATTTGTTGTTGATATCGCTTTTATTTCCCAGTTTTAAGACTTTTATTAATTCCTCCATTTGTTGGCCGCCAACGAGTTCGTGGTGTTTCGGTGATAATGGGTTCAGTGGTGTCTGTGCGACGACTGACAGACCATTGCCGCAGTGTTTGGACAATAAGATTGAGTGAAATGTCAAATGTTTTCAAAATCCGAGACAAAAATGTCTGACATTTGAGTGAAAAAGTGGTCCAAAAAGCACTGAATCTCACACTCAGTCAACACTACTGTCAGGGGTTTTGCCCTCACTTTCACTCCAATCACACATTCAATGAAACACTTGTTTCACTCAAAACACTATTACATGAGTTTGTATTCATCGCTACAGATGTCACGACTGTTTGCTATGGATTTGACCCTAAAATCCAACAAAAACTCCGCATTTTAGGGATTTTTGTTTTATTGATTTTACACTTTTAAATGTACCAGTTCAATTACATTGATTATTTCATTACAATTTATTGATTTTTAAGTTTGTTATTACATTTGATGACACGATTATGTTGTAATTGAGTTGTTTATTGCCATAATAATAGCAATATTTAAGTTTATAATAGATTTTGCATTTTATAAACCATTTAAATGTCCAAAACTTGTTGAGAAAATCACGTGTTTTTCGGTTTGCGTTCAAATCAATTGGTTTTGATTTGATTGTGAAGTAAATGTGAATTGATTTGTGTTTTGAGTATTCATTGGATATAAGGCTAGAGTTGTGTTGAAGTAATGGTGCGATCGCTGAGATATGCGGAGAGAAAGCTCTTAAAGAAAGTCGATTTCATTGATTGGGAAACCAATTCAGTCAAAGAGATTGCAATCCTCAGGAAGTATTGCAT